TATATAATATTATATATATATATATATATATATATAATATATAATATGGAGAAAGTCCAATACATCCTGAAAATTAAAAAAATAATATTTGAAGGATATCAGTGGTGGACTGGAGTGGCCAAGCGGCCCGGAGCAAAAAAATTAATAAATAGTGGTCCTATTCGACTTATAATTTGCCTTGGGGTGGGGGGGGGGCGGGGTTTGCGTGTTTTCAGCCATGGTCGCTGATAGCTTTACAGTAAACAATTTTTTTTTTTTAAATAAAGCATAAACCAAACGATAAATTGAAAATCTAATTTACACTGGGAAAAACAACTTAGTACGTCTAGAACAGAGGTCGGCAAATCGCGGCTTGCGAGCCGCATGCGGCTATTTAGGGACCCGAGTGCGGCTCGGCCAGTCGACCGCAAATCGGTTTTGACACCGAAAAACATGGATCTTGACAGGTTCTTGAAAAGAAATCTGGCTCTTGTAAAAGTTGTAATCGTCCTGCTGCTGATTTTTGACTAATGAGTTTGCTGACCTCTGGTTTAGGGTTTTAAAAAAATCAACTTATGACAGAGCAAATCAAGTTGAAATACCAGCAAAGTTTGTTGATATAGGTTTAATTTCATTAAATGTGAATGTTACTTCGTGGTCTTGTGGTGAAGAGAGCTCGGAACTTTCAAATAATAGAATGGGTCCAGGGCAACCCGCCGTGAGCAATACAAACACAAAAACTACAATACATATGGCGTACACGCCAGCCAATCGATAAAGGATTCATAAAGGCATCTTTTGTTCTCGCCAGATGCCATAACAATATCAACTAGGCTCTGTTGAGCCAGGAAGGAGTGTGTTCACGTGTATTGACTATCCCAATTAACAAAAGAACTCATAAATTGTCCCCGCAGACAAAAACAAGTCATTATCTTTGGCCGAGCAAATGACACCACCAACTTAATTCACAACTCAATCGCATATACCAGACACACCACCAAAGTGTCCCTCATTGGTAACCCCCTAAATTAGACAGTAGCATGGACCCCTTTCTCGGCTGAGGGCTCCGGTCAAGTACTTACAGCTTTTAATTCATCTACGTCAATAGTCATACTACCTTAATACCATATAAGTTATTAAGCAGCCAAGGATAACTACAATGTTTTTCGACATAGCCTCGGGACGAAAGTAGTCTACGGCTACTTGGTCAGGATAAAGGTCAAGTAGACTCAGAATTTTTTTTTAGCCATGAGATGAGTGTGAACATTTTAACTGATTCATAATTCACTATGCAGCTCCAAGGCAACCGTTTCGTCCCAGCTACTTGCATTAGTTGCGTCGTGGAAACCCGCTGTAGATACCAGTGGGGGGGGGAGGGGGGAAGGGGGGGGGTTTGGTACTATTTTCTTTATATTGATTGCGGGTTTTTCGTGGAACAGGTGGTGTCAAAAATCTTGGCCCACCCCGGGCGTAGCTAATCCTAGTTAGGTCACTGTGTGGAAACATTAAAAAAAGTAAACAAAG